GCGGCGAGCGTCTGGCGAGGCTTCGGCGGAGAAGCCCCCTGCTCCGGCGGCCGCGCGCCCGCCTCCCCACCCCGCTCCTGCGCCAATTCACAAGGTCACGAAGCAGAAGTACGCAATTTGCGCAGACAGATACGCAGACAAACACAGAAAATCAGAGTGCGTACCGTTGTAAAAATAGTCCAATTTAAAAAAAAAAAAGACACTCGAAAAGCCGGACAGTGTTTGATTTGAAGGCTACGCCTGCCGGACAGAAGACGGAAGGACACAAGGGAGGGCCTGTCCTCCTTTTGCCGGACGCCTGGCAACCCTTCCGGGCAGGGGTATCTCTAGGGGGCATCAAGTCAAGATGGTGTTGGGGGCTACAACCTCGTGGTCAAAGCCCGCCTCTTTTTTCTACATGTGCTGCATGTGAAAAAGGGCACAGTGGATGCCCCTTTTTTCATTGCACCCTTGCAAATGCCATCTTGACTTTTTGGCACCCCCTCCCTCTGCCAACACCCCTGTCCTCTGGATAGAACTCCCTGTTCTATCAAAACGAGGGACCCTGGAAATAGGATTGAAGAGAGACCGTTAGCAACCCTGGGGGCGATCTGTTCAGGCAGGCCCCCTTCTTTTCCTATTTATTTATTTAATTTGTCCCCCACCCATCTCCCCCTGCTGGGGGACTCTGGGTGGCTCACAACACATTAAAACAATAAATAAATATACAATTAATATCTATAACAATTCACATTCACAAAAATAAAAGGGAAAAAAATCCAGGAGGCCGATGGCTCAAGGCAGCGACGCCAGGCCACTAAGGGACTAGCCAACCCCACCCTTGATGATCCCCCTCCTCGCCCCAGGCCAGGTGGCAGAGCCAGGTCTTCAGATCCCTCCGAAAGGCCAGGAGTGAGGGGGCCAATCGCACCTCCAGGGGCAAGATACTCCAAATTGCCAGTTAGAGGCAGCTGAACCCGAGCCCCCGAAGGATGGTAGACGCCATCGATGCTCTGGCCTTCCAGCAGCACTGACCTTGTTTTCTTCGTATCGCAGAGACCCACCAGAGCTGCGACCGAAGCACATTTTGGAAGCTGTGGTTGGAAAGCTGCCTAGTTGCATTGTGTTCGCCTAAGTGGGTATCACTTGTGAGGCCCCAAGAGAAGGTTCTGGAGGCAGCGTCATTAAGTAAACTAGGCAGCAGCTCCATGGAGAACAGCACGGAGGATGCGATGTATCGACACTGACCCTCCCTCCCCCTTGGGGAAAGGCGGGGATACCACTGACATAAATTAATGAATAAAACATCCCAAAGGTTTCTGTTCAGCCAAAATGAGTAAAACCATAAAATGAACCACGAAACAAAATGCTCTCTTCGCTTCCCATTTTCACTGGCAAAATAACTGTAATTGGTCTCAGGCCCTTCAACAACAATGTGGCCATTTCCGTCAAATTATCCTCTTCTCCCCCCAGAAAAGAGAGTTCAGAAGCAGGATTTCAAAGACAGTTGAGCTGGAAGTGATAATCGCTTTTGATTAAAAGCATTAAGCTCTTAGAAATCATGGGATGTCAAATGGCTTCTTGAGTGACTCATAATAACTACTTGGGACATGAGTGCAGGAGCATGGAACTGGTCTTCCACTCAATGAAATAATTGGGCTTGATCA